TTTTGTATATATATCAATGAAACATGTTTGTTTTTTAAATGTTTTTTGTAATTCAGTATTTTTTTAAGTTTCCAGGTTCCTGGTGTGTATCTGCATGCGTCAGATAATGAACTCAAGCCTACATTACCGTGTTAACATGCTTTTCAATCCTTCCTGCACATTCTTTTCAAACTAAACTTTGCTTTAAACTGTTGTTTGCTTGGAAAAATATAAATTGTAATGTTAAAAATCTAAAAAAAAAACTTGACAGGTTAAAAACTTAAGATAAATCACGAGACAGAAGTCAATGTCACAAATGAATAACTTTTATTTTAGAGTCATGGTATGTTTATACAAGATAATACTATTAATATAATGTGACTTTTCTAGAGAATCATTATACATAGTTATTTTATTCACGGTTTCCACAGTCTGACATCATTTCAGAATTCCCTGACTTTTAACTGACTCAGGATTAGTTTTCCCTGACAGAATAAATGCAGCAACAAGACAATAATAATAACATAACAGGTCACCAATTTAACATGTTTAGCTCTATAACATTTAAAAGCACCTCTACAATGTCTGAGAGAAAAAAAAATAAATGAAAATTTTTTTAATGTATGACCTGCATCACTGTACAGAAGACTGCCATATCGTTTTGGTAACTACATCAAAATTACCACTAGGTGGACAAAAATCATGCCATCTGGCGGAAAATCACGCGGCTTTTTCAAATCACGCAAGAATGTGTACAAAACAACAAAAATGGCGCCGGCAACGCTTCTGGGTCGTTTTCATTGAATGTGATTTTAAAGTAATTTTGAGTGATACATTTTTTTTTTTTTTGCGATCCTTGCACTTGCCCGGTGGGCAAATGCAATGAAATTTGTACTCTCCCGACAATAAAAACGACTTGCCCCGGGCGATCGGGCGATGGTTAACATTGAGCGCTGATTATATTTATTGCGCAGTCTTTGTTGTTTTTATTATTTTATCGTGATGCATGTTTTTTATTTTGCATGAAGGATAGAAAACAGTTTAGGGACATCTGACATGTACACTGACTTGCACAGTCCTACATTTAAATATATTCTGCACACAAAAGGTGAAAATTGATTAAGTCATCCCTAAATCTGTTAGTTTGTGATTGCAATGTGAGAAAAAGGTGTAAGGTTGATTTGCAATGATAACCACAGCTGAAGGTGTCCTGTAGACCTCATGTTTATATTTTGCTCTCAATCCCTGAAGTTTCTCATGCATTAAACTCGTCAGGAGTAAAACCCTTCTGATGTACTGTGGCACAGGCCACCATATTGTTAGTATTGCTCTGCAGCTTGGTTCCTAATTATCCTGCTCGGCCCATTCTTGCAGGATGTTGTGCAGTCATCATACTTGTTGCCCAAGTTTCCCACAGTTCAAACCTTGCTGCTCTTCAACTCATGCCACCCTGGAAAGGGGCTTCGCTATGCAACAGAGGAATGTACACATTTGTGGTTTGGCTGTTGCCAAACAGCTTTGACTTGCAGTCTGGGTGTTACTGCGGCTGATTAATTTACTGTACTGGTATTTAGATTGTCTTTTGTTTTACTGGGTAGCTTTGTATGCATTTTGACTTGTTTTTCTTGCTGTTCTGGTATTTCGTGGTATCTTACTTGGAAGCCAGGTGTTTTTTTTTTCTCTGATTCAGTATGTATTTAGTTATATGATGGGAAACTAGTTTGTATTACGCTTGATTATTTCCAGATTTAGATATTTACTAAGCAACATGCAGTAGGCTAAAACACCTATCATTCCACAAAGGGTTATGAAGCTTTTTTTGAGACATTTGGGCTCCAAGTAAAGAACAATTATCCATAACAATGGAGCCCAGAGTTCAGAGCAGTAAGCAAAGTTGTACTTTAGCACACCTCTCTGCAGCTTCTCTAAATGACACCCCATTTAGAGTGTCTTGCCCTCAGCCAAAATCCAACTAATTAGAAAAAAAAAAAATCTTAAAGGAGTAAATCCTGAAAGCCATGTCTTAAAAAAAACAACAAAAAGCTCAACTGGCTGTAATTGTCGATAAATCCTGATGAATCAAACATGTTATATAGAACAGAGGCATGTCTTAAAGACGTTAAAAACTAGATGCATTTCAGTTGAGTCTTTAAAAAAACTGCAAAGAAATGCAAGAAAACTGCAAAAAAATTCATTTTCAAATCGCAGAATTTAATAATGAATTGATAAATAAATTACTAATTACTCTTCCATTTAAAATTTATATTAGAAAACTTTTCAAATTTGATTTAAATGTTCAAATTTAAAACGGCCACTTTTCTTTTTCAGTGACTATTTTGATCCTCCATACTTTTCTACTGTCAGACATAAAAAATTAAATTACTCTACTCTGTTATGCAGCTTCACATGCAACCCGACAAAATCATTAAATATCAGTTTAGCTTTGCCCAACTATACTACCTTCTCTAGCTGCTATACTGAACTGTATGTGATATTATGTCTAATTAAAGACATTAATAATTAACTATTAAGACATACAGCAATGTTTATATTTATTTGAATAATACTGTGAAGAATGGAACATTGTGTCCTTTTTTTTCTACGTTGTTCACAGCGTCAACGACTTGTTGAACCCTAAATGTTTAATTCTAATAGTAGACTTAAAATGTTCCCTTTTTAATAAATCTCCTAAAGGGGCTGGTTATGCTGCTATAGACTTGGTATGCTGGAAGACATAAAGACCACTATTCTCCAAGTTTGCATTATTTGTTAGTTCAACTTTTAATGTTATGTTTTCTCTCTGCTTTTTCCCGTCATAGTAGCTACATCTGGCGTGGCACTCTGCTTAGCTGTGACACCTTCCAGGAGGGAGGAATCAGCTGGGCTGCTATCGTCAACAATATTCATAATAGATTATAGTGTCGGGCCTGTTTTTCAATGTCTACTCCTGTTTCTGTCCTACATATATCTATGTAGTCAGTTTTTAATGTGAATAACTATATTTTTTCCCTTTTATCTTTTTTAACTGAGAACCAGTTTAGAGGACATTTCCTTAACAGTTTTTTTTCCAGACAGTGCCACCTATCGAGCTAGTTTACCGTTACCTTATCTAGCGTAGAAAGTGTTTAAGGTACAGTGCTTCCTTTCTTTGTCTGTCTCCTTCTTAAACCAACGTTCGACCGCAGGCGAAGGCCTTACACGTTCAGCCTGGGTCTGTATGAGGTTTATTTCTCTTAAAAGGGAGTTTTTTACTCTCCACTGTCGCTGTATGCATTCTCACTGTGAGGAATTGCTGCAAAGAAAGAACTGTATCGAGTAAATGTCCACTATCGCTACGTTCCTTCCAAGAGGAGCTGATTCAGCCAAGTCAAAGACTCTTATGCATTCAGTCGGGTTTCCTTGGACTGTAAAGTTTTAATAAATCTGTCTGTATGATTTAATTGAATGGACTCTGTAAACTGTTAACTGCTGCCTCGTACGGAAAATTAATTGCTTGAAATTGGAAGACATGGGACGGGTATGAACCTTGAGGAATGGCTTGTATATAAAATTTAAAGTTATTAGGAGTGGTGATTTGGTGTTGATTTGTTGCCTTTGGACTTGGACAGCTAAGAGTTGTCCAGGTCCGGTTATGACTTCTGCCCTGTACCAAAAACTCATTAAGGAGAAAATGTCAGGCTGCCAATCATCAATCTAGAAGTTTTGGGTTATTCAGCAGGACAGTGATTCAAAAAGCACCTGAAAGTCCGCCTATGAAAGGCTGGAAAAAACGTTCTGTATTGGTCTAGTTAAACTTCAACTTTGACTAGACCATTTATTTGAACTCGGTCAGACTTTATTTTCTTGGTAGCTTTCTTTAATGCCGGAAACAAAAGTTTGTCATTTTATGGGGAAATAATATGCATTTTTTTGCTACCTTTAGATGTGCGTTTTATACGGGTACCCGATCCGGTGCAGGACTCTGGTCCGATGTAACCCTTTTGCCGGGATTTCTCTAATATTTGCATTTTAGCTTTTTCTCTTCTCTTTTACTAATTGGCCATCACCCTTAAACTTGGTAACCTGACTCCGCCAGATAGATTTGCTGGATTTGCTTCACATATCCATCTGGAAACCTTCCGTTGAAGTAATTTTGGGAAGGGGCGAAAATACTGGTTAGCTGATTGGCCTATGTTGGTGATAGACGGGCCAAATAAACCAATCAGATCAACGAAGCATATGACGTACTAACAGCCAGGCTACTCTTGCCGAAACCAGTCGGGAGAAGAGCAAAAACATCTTTTCTTCTGAGAAAAGCCTCCAGAGCAGTGTTTTGCTCTTCTTTCAGTGAAGAAATACTCTGTAATTCCGATAAAACTTGCTCGATAGCCACGCTAACGCTAGTTTCATCGGTTGAAGCCGCCATGTTCTTTAGACTGAACTGTCGCGCTTCTCGTTGCGTCACACCTCAACCCGCCTCAAAGCCAACGCTGATTGGACGTTCGTTTGGTGAACGGTTCCAACTTTTCTTCAACGGAAAGTAGCCAGACTGATTAGTGAGTGAAATCTTGAAAGCTCGCGAGATCAGGATGGTCTCACGAGGCTATAAACTTGGACCCTCAGTCAGTAACATTCATTTATAATTAGGTCATAATATCCCTGATTTCTGTATTGGTCTAGTTAAACTTTGAACTTTGACTAGACCATTTATTCAGATGGTGCATTCTTGCAACAGGCTATTTGAATTTGAAGGCTACAAAGAGCTTTTTGCTACTTCTTTTATTCAGTTCTTGTTTTTACAAATTATTTCGATTGTAACCTTTGTTTGTATTGTTATAGGAACTCTGTCAGACTTTATTTTCTCGGTAGCTTTCTATAATCCAGGAAACAAAAGTATAAAGTAAATATGAATGAAAAAAGTTTGTAATTTGTTTAAAGCATCTGCACTAACGAGCAAAGTAGCGTTTTTTTCTTGATTATTTGGGCTTTATCAGGTTAAACTCTGCGTGAACCTGCTGTAATCCTTCTTTCCCCTGTTTCAGCTGTGTTCACGTTGAGGAGCACCATGCTGTGGATATCGACGTTTACCACTGTCCAAACTGTGACGTCAAACACGGACCCTCCCTGAGTGAGTAATGTCCTCATTATTGGCCGGATTCATTTGCTGTTTTCTGCCTCCTTCCCCCAGTCTTACTTACAGCCTTCCATTGTCCTTATGAACTGCCCACCACCTCAGTCTCTGCTGCTCCTCAGGGAAACAACAGCTCTCTGGAGTGTTAGTCAAGTCTAAGTTTCCCCCCCTCTTTCCTTAAGAGGCCGGGGGTTGGGTTAACCTTTCCGAGCCCTCAGGGCAGACATTAACCGGCTAATTGAATGGTTTTGTAAACCCTTCTCTCTGATTGGATAAACTCCTTATCAGAACACGGGGTTAAGTAGTTGTTTGTTTTTTTTTATTCCTGTTTTTTCTGTGAACTGCGTGATTATACCAGACTTGTTTTTAAATCACAAGTGCAACACAAAGGCTCAAATTTGAATGTCTGTCTTGCAGTGAAAAGGCGCAACAACTGGCACAGGCATGACTACACAGAGCCAGACGACGGATCAAAGCCGGTGCAGGCGGGCACCTCAGTGTTTGTTAAGCAGCTGCAGCAAAGGACCTTCCCGAGGTGTGTCATCAGCAATCCCTCTCCCAACTCTTAATGAGTTATTTATTTTTATTTATTTTGTAAGGCTTTTGCAGTTCTCTGGAGTATGTTATCTAAGCAGTTAAAAGACGTGTTTCCGTTTGCTGGCAAACTGCTGGTGTTTCCAAACACCTGAGTCTTTATTTTAAAATCTACAACCTCAAAGTTCTTCCACTTGACAGTCAATATGACAGCTTTTGTTAATGAGGGGTTTATTTCTAATCTAACTGAACCACAACACATCGATCAATTTAAAGTTCCTGGAGAGTTTGGTGACGTAGCAATGCTAGAACAGGCTTTAAGAATACAGATAGTCAATTGTAGATGTGTTTTGTTTTTGTTTTTTTGCTTTTTTTTTGTCAAAAGAAGGATTACAGTAGTGGTGGTTTAACTTTGCAAATGTCTATTTTTTTTTTTTTTTTTTTTTTACTTTTTTCTTTATTGAAAAATATCAAAATTTAAAAGATAAGCATAAGTAAACAAAGTGACATCCAAAGAAATCCAAGCAGCTGATAAGAAAATAGAATAAAAGAAAAAAAAAAAACAGGCATGAAAAACACAAATATCAATAAAAATGGTGGTAATGCTGATTATAATAACCCATGTTTTTCTTTTTTTCTTTTTTTTAAAGATTTGCAAATGTCTTTTTTTTCTTTATTGAACAATATAAAAATAAAAAAATAGGAATAAGTAAAGAAAGTGTCATCCAAAGAAATCCAAGCAGCTGATAAGAAAATAGAATAAAAAAAAAAACAGGCATGAAAAACACAAACATCAATAAAAATGATGGTAATGCTGATGCTAATAACCCAATTTTTTTTTTTTTTTTTAAGATTTGCAAATGTCAACAGCCGCTAGTCTGACTTGGGTTAATATTTTTAAAATGTTTTTTTATGCAGTGTTCTGAAGTGTTAACTTTAGTTTGGAAATATGACTGAATAAAGCTATAAATTGTAATCCTTTAAATGCTGCAGTTGTAGAGAAGTAGCCTCTTTGATAATAAGGAAGTATTGTTTTTAGATTAGTGTTTCTTAAAAGTAAAAGATTTATTTTTGTCAGTATTGCTGTGATAGGATTTTAATTAATATTTACTTTCTGATGGTGAGTCCAATGCAGAGTCCTGGACTGGTCTGACTGTATCCGCCCGCAATCGTAGAGTTCAGAACCGAGACCCGACCCCTTACCCACAATTATCTCCATTTAAAACCCAACACGTAAATATTAGTTAGGATAGCCTGTTTCTGTATGCCTCTGCTGACTTCTGCTCACATGTGGTGGTGTCAGCATCGTTGCAATACTGTTATCTAGATATTCTTTAATCAATTTATTTTTTTAAGATGTAGAGTTAATAATACTGCTGTAACTCTATGATACCCGTATTTTGTTCATTTATATCCGTGTCCGCATCCATGAAACTGTGGGGGGTTTTCTACCCATAGATATATGGGTATCCGACCCGGTCCAGGACTCTGATCCAATGTAACCCTTTAGGCAGGATTTCTCTAACATTTTCTCTTCTGTTTTACTAATTAGCCGTCATCTGTAAACTTGGACCCTCATTGAGTAAGATTCATTTATAATTAGGTCATAGTATCCCTGATCTACCATTTGCTTTAGTTCAGTTTAATTTAAAGGTGTATGAGGCCTACTAAAATTTGTCCGACTGGTTATTTTGTTTCAGCTTATCCTCTCTAAAGATACATTTCTGGGGCTTTTTACACGCCGTTTTCAGGGATCTCAACATGGGAGAGGGAAGTTAGATCTAAAAATCTGTAATAATATTATGTCCCAGTTTAATCTATACCAGAAAATCCTTTTTTGTTTGTTTTTTGCCTCTGTGAGGAGTAAAATGAATCAGTTGAGAAGTTTGTTGTGGCCAAAGTTGGATCCCTGCTTAGACTTGTTGTGATTTGGTTCGCAGTGCCGAGGAGATCCTCATACGGATGAAGGGCGAGCAGGTGACCACCAGGTACTTGGAGAGACACGGCTTCAACTACCCCATCGCCATCACAGAGATGGAAGGCCTGGGTCTAAAGCTGCCCCCGCCCACTTTCTCTGTAAAAGACGTGGAGCAGTATGTGGGTAAGGATGCCAAAACAAAACCTTCCCTTATTTATACCACATTTACAGCAAAACATTAGAGTTTATCCTTCAGGGATTACAGAGGCCGTCTGATTGAAGCAGGCAGTAACTCCTGTTCTGCCTGAAAGCTGATGAAACGACCCAACACCAGGCAGCTAAGTGGCTTTAGCTGAGCAGGCCCCATCTGCGTACCGATATGAGCAGGTTTCCAGGTTCATGAGGTTTTAACCCACTTATCAGGCAAAGGTTGAAGGAGTTCTAAATGGGTGATGGCTAAGCTTTCACTGCCTTCCTCCTCACACAGCTTCCCAGCTCCTGTTACAAGCCCATTACCAACCCCACCAGTGTTTTATCATTAAGTTCAGATTACAGACGCTGCCCCTCACTTTGACGCTTCCTCCACATGCACCATTGAGCTTAAGCCAAGGCACAGGTGTTGTGACCAGAAACTGGGAGTGGGGTCATATTTCCTGTGGCACAGTGTGAAGCGCCGCTGATATCTCCTCCACTTTGAGCTTTTTAATTACACTGCAAACATGGTGTGTGGTCAGAAAGTTAAACCTGCATTCTGTTCACTTATCTGTCTTTTTCTTCCCCATCTTCACACAATAGTACAAGTTGAAGCAATGAGATTAAGTCACAGATTTATTTTAAATTAGATGAAGTTTTTTTAAATACCATGGTTGTGAATTTGAACAAAGAAGTCCAAATACATTAACGGCAAATTTAAAAGCTAATATCCTCCTGAATGAAGAATAAACGGCCTGTTTGGGCGCCATATCGCAGTGTCAGGATGTTTGGAAACCACGAATAATGAAATAAATAAAAGCAGACATGCAAGCGCTGGAGTGTTTTGCCAACGAATGAAACAAAATGGTAAATTTTCTTCGATCCGCAAAATTAGTCAAAATATAAAGTTTCCTCCATGTTTATAAGTTTTATTTAAATATTGTTCTTTTTATTTGGAATTTCCAGTTTCCTGTTTTCTGTCTCAAAATAAGTTTTTATTCAAATCAGACTTTTTTTTTATGTTTTATCCTAAAAAAAAAAAATCAGTGCTTTATAAATAGAAGGAAGCTCAGTAGCGGTGGAAGAAAAATTATATATTTTTTTTAGGGATGCACAATATAATCGGGCCCCTATCGGTATTGGCCTTAAAACTGAATATCGGACATCGGCCACCCCACCGATATTTAACCCGATATTTGATCAGCTTCTACTTCTACTTCTTCCTCAAAAACTTCTTTTTTACAGACTTAAAAACTTCTAAAGACGAGGGAAAAAATGTTGATACATTAAAATATCACAATATCTTCATATGCTGATATATTGCCATTTAAAAACACCATATCAATCTCTTTTACTAATTAAATATTGCTATATGTCATCGTTATGCTACGAAATCCCCCGAAAATTCACAAAATTTTGCCATATTTTTATATGTTGATATATTGACGCGGTATCGATCTATTTTACTAACAAAATCTCACAAGAATTTGCAAAATATCACGAGAGTTTGTAACAGAACGATGAAATTTCACCAGATTTTGAAAGTAAAATGGATCGATACCGCGTTTTTAAAAATCAATTTGATATCAGCATATGAAAATATATTTGAGTATCTTAAAGTGTCAGAAATGGATAACAAAACTGCTATTTTCAATGACTACTTATTTTTTTCCAGCTTTAACATCGGTATCAATATCGGTTATCGGCTACATGAGTTTTAAAATATCGGCATATCGGATATCGGCCAAAATCCCAATATCGTGCATCCCTACTTTTTTTCTTTAAAGGTATTGTAACTCCAAAGTGACGACACTGGCACAGCTTCCTTTAGACAGACTCTTTATTAAAGCTGTTAAAACTATAGAGATCAAAAACAAAGCTTTTAAAGCATTTGCAGACAGTCGGGTGACTCGTGCTTTACCAAAAATTACCTTATGACCACCTGCCACTTCAGAGGTCTTAGAATAATTATTCCTCGTCCAATCTAAATTAAAATATAAAGTAATAAAAACACCATAACATATAAATTTACAAAACATTACAAACATAACTGCAAAATACCTACAGCTACAGGAAACATGAGGCTGCTACACGTAGCTCTGTTCCAAGCTTCTGCTCCTTCTCTGCGTATTCAAGTCACAGCCTTTCAGTTAAACACAAATCTCGCGTTAACTTTCAACAAGAAAAATAGTTTCGACACGAAAATACAATAATTTTGCACAAATCTCAAAACGTAAAGCAAACAACTTTAAAATACATTATCTGAACTGTTAGAAAATATACATTTTTTCCAAGAAAAAAAAATGATTTCACTGACAGTTATAGTGGAGGATGTTATTTTTCCAGGTGGATCATCAAAATAACTGGCCCTCCTAACTGTCAATCATTCTGGTGATACGTTTATGTGTTCATACTCATTTTCACTTATCGGTGGTGAGGCTGACATAGTGGAAAAATTTCAAATCTTCTTTGGGAAAGTAAGCTTATATGAGCGATGCAAACAGCAACTTTTAAACAGAACAGAGCGTGCTCCCTCTAGGGAGCGGGTACAGGGCTGTGCATTTTTATTTTTTATTTATTATTAAGGGACGAGGGCGGGTCTTTTCCACAGTTCCTGAAAATCCTCCACTATACTTTTAACTTTAACTCTCCAGTAATATTCAGTAGCTGCTATATTGGATTGTTATACTGACGTTTTTTACAGAACGCCTTAATAAACGGCTCCAGGTTACCTTGATTTAACAATTACTTTAAAATTCTTTTAAAACTAAATTGGAAACGGTGCTGATTGGTTCAAACCTCTTGGCACACACTCTTAATCAGTCCTTAATAAACTGGCCTTTTTCTTTTGTGAGCGTTTCCTTCTTGAGCAGTTTGCTTAAGTATTAAAAGAAAAACATTATTGATCATATTATAGATTATCACCCATTTATTATACTTTATTAGTTCCAGTGCAGTATTCCCAATGCACTGATTTAGAAATAATTTTTTTATTTTGTTTTGGATATTTTTGTGTTGCATTTTTTTACTCATACAACTATTTAAGGATGTTTGAGCTCTGCAAAGCAATTTAAGAAATGCAGATTTTATTCAAGCAATGATGTTTTCCCAACGCTGATAATTGATCTAGACGTGGAGGCCCTGCTCAATCATGCTTTTTTTAAAAGAAGCTTCTACAGCAATTTATGTTCATTTAGGACCTTATTTTACTATAGAGAGTGAAGTAATGTGTCTTTCTGCTGGCGGGGATTAGCTTTACTTTAGGTTTATGAAAAGACTTTGAAGTGATGCTGTTGAAGCTCCATGTTGTGGGGTTTCCTGCCAGCTTCGTCTCACGATGTGACGGACCGCTTTCACTCCAGCTGTTGGCCGTCGTCAGACACTGGCCAGCTGGGCCGTCAGAACTGGGGGAGAAAAGCAGAGGCAACATGCTACAGGGCAAAAGGAAAAAGAAAAGTATCTGAGAGATGTGGGGAAATACAAAAAGCAGCTGTCTTGGTCTGATCCAGCTTTTCTAGACTGATTTTCCTCAGATTCTCTTTTTCTTCAAGTATTTCCCTACATGTTTAAGTTCTCCCACACCGAACCGCTTCCACCCACTCCCCCCTCCTCCTCAGGGACTGATGGTCTGGACAGATTGTCTCGCTTGCATCCCCTTGGACCCCCCCCCACCCCAGGCGGCCATATTGATGCCAGTTTCCCTCAGGGCTTGATCTCTAAAAGCACACAAACATGGCAGCAAGCTGTTGACCTCTTTAAACCTCTCGCCCACTCACAGCTAATTAGGAAACTTTTCATATTTTCTATTCAGATGTCCAGCAGCTGCAGAATGTATCTTCTGATCCTCCATGAACTAAAAAATGTTTCCTCTTAACCAGGTGGTGACAAAGTTATTGACGTGATCGATGTAGCGCGGCAGGCAGACAGCAAGATGAAACTCAGCGAATTTATCAAGTATTTCACCAAACCCCATCGTCCCAAAGTCCTCAATCTCATCAGTCTGGAGTTCTCTGACACAAAGTAAGATACCCCAAAGTTTGTTTTTAATGCCATTTTAGTTTGGGTTAAAACCTACGGAAGAGGATTAGGGCCACTGAAAAAAAAAAAAGAAAAGTTAACTGATTTTTTACATTTTATTTCAGTATAGTATGGGAAAAAAGTCAGAATTCTGACTTTTTTATTGTCAGAATTCAGTCAGAATTCTGAGATTAAAGTCAAGAGTTCTGAGATTAAAGTCAGAATTCTGACTTTTTTCTCAGAATTCTTACTTTTTATTATTGTCAGAATTCAGTCAGAATTCTGAGATTAAAGTCAAGAATTCTGAGATTAGAGTCAAGAATTCTGAGATTAGAGTCAGAATTCTGAGATTAGAGTCAAGAATTCTGAGATTAGAGTCAGAATTCTGAGATTAGAGTCAGAATTCTGAGATTAGAGTCAAGAATTCTGAGATTAAAGTCAAGAATTCTGAGATTAAAGTCAAGAATTCTGAGATTAGAGTCAAGAATTCTGAGATTAGAGTCAGAATTCTGAGATTAGAGTCAAGAATTCTGAGATTAAAGTCAAGAATTCTGAGATTAGAGTCAAGAATTCTGAGATTAGAGTCAAGAATTCTGAGATAAGAGTCAAGAATTCTGAGATAAGAGTCAAGAATTCTGAGATTAAAGTCAAGAATTCTGAGATTAAAGTCAAGAATTCTGAGATTAAAGTCAAGAATTCTGAGATTAAAGTCAAGAATTCTGAGATTAAAGTCAGAATTCTGAGATTAGAGTCAGAATTCTGAGATTAAAGTCAAGAATTCTGAGATTAAAGTCAAGAATTCTGAGATTAAAGTCAAGAATTCTGAGATTAGAGTCAAGAATTCTGAGATTAGAGTCAGAATTCTGAGATTAGAGTCAAGAATTCTGAGATTAGAGTCAAGAATTCTGAGATTAGAGTCAAGAATTCTGAGATTAGAGTCAAGAATTCTGAGATTAGAGTCAAGAATTCTGAGATTAGAGTCAAGAATTCTGAGATTAGAGTCAAGAATTCTGAGATTAGAGTCAAGAATTCTGAGATTAGAGTCAAGAATTCTGAGATTAGAGTCAAGAATTCTGAGATTAGAGTCAAGAATTCTGAGATTAGAGTCAAGAATTCTGAGATTAGAGTCAAGAATTCTGAGATTAGAGTCAAGAATTCTGAGATTAGAGTCAAGAATTCTGAGATTAGAGTCAAGAATTCTGAGATTAGAGTCAAGAATTCTGAGATTAGAGTCAAGAATTCTGAGATTAGAGTCAAGAATTCTGAGATTAGAGTCAAGAATTCTGAGATTAGAGTCAAGAATTCTGAGAAAAAAGTCAAGAATTCTGAGAAAAAAGTCAGAATTCTTAGATTAAAGTCAGAATTCTGACTTTTTTCCCAATACTAACTTGAAAAAAGTCTTTTTAAATCAGTAAACTTTTTTTTTTTTTTTCCAGTGGCCCTAATCCATTTCCGTAAAAAACAGAAGTTGCAATTTATAGAGAAAAAAATTGACAAATCATCTGCATGTAATGAATTCCTAATATTTGCTGTTGCTTGTTTTTGTTTAAAACAAGTTGAAAAATGTTGGGAATTGCTGGAGCTTCTTAAATTGGCTAAGAAACTGTCCTAAACTTGAATTGGAATTTCTTTCTGAATTTTTTTTACTTTCATCACATTTCAGGCATTTAAAAAAGAGGAAATTTGACACATAGAATGAAATTCAAATCAATGGAGTTTCTCCTGTTTTGCTCATTGTTAACCTGCAGAAATGTTGGTTTTCCGCTCTATTGTATGTTGAAAATGGCTTGATAGGAAAATAAAGTTTTAACATTTAGCCTTTTTTCATTAACCCGAAGGATGTCAGAGTTGGTGGAGGTTCCTGATGTGGCTAAGAAAATGTCCTGGGTGGAGAACTACTGGCCTGACGACTCGTTCTTCCCAAAACCCTTCGTCCAGAAGTACTGCCTTATGGGGGTTAAAGACAGCTACACGGACTTCCACATAGACTTTGGAGGAACCTCAGTCTGGTATCATGTTTTGTGGGTAAGTGTAGGGAATGAAGCTGTATTTTAAGATCGATTGATTGGGATGGCAATGGGAAGGCTGGGTGTGTGAAGCTACGGTCGGCTCCAATATGTTTGTCAACCCTGCAGGGTGAGAAGATCTTCTACCTGATCAAACCCACTCCCACCAACCTTGCACTATATGAGGCGTGGAGCTCCTCACCCAATCAGAGCGAAGTGTTCTTTGGCGACAAAGTGGATAAGTGCTACAAGTGTGTCGTTACCCAAGGAACCACCCTGCTTATCCCGACAGGTTTGTGTTTTCATAGAGATTTGATTACATTATTATACACAGGCTTATGCATGTATATTTATATATATACTTTTTACTTTTTTTTATTTAACAAACTACAGTTGGAAGAGACTGTTTAAGGGAGTCAGACTTTGTTCTAAAGAGAAACCTGTAACGCTAATACCCCTTTTCCACTGGCCAAAAAACCCACCAAAAAACTTGTTTACCTGCTAATTTATGTGATACCGTTGATGTCAACACAACGCGGCAATCTCTTCTGATCTAAAAAGCTGAAAAAACTCTGTTTACATTCCATAAACATGGAGCAGCTCTGGTGAGACGGATTCAGACAGATAATAGAGTGAAACAATAAAGTACACTGACTACACCCTGGCTTCCTTACATGTTGCTCTCCGTTGTTTACTTTCCTGATTTCTGACATCATTAACGCTGAGCCTGTGTGATGGTGTCACCAGACACGCAGCGGCGGGGGGGGAGGCTACACAGCTTGCCAGTGAGGGGTTAGACCAGCTTCTTTTGCCAATGGGAAGGAAGCCAAATGCCGATTGTTAACGGATCGACCCATGTTTGAAAAACGTGTTAACCCAAAATTTTCAGTGGGAGAGAAGCTTAAGAAGTGTTTTCTAAACTGGTTCCTCTAGTTTGGAGTTTGATTTTTCCTTTTCTCATATTTTGATGAGGAAAACCAAAATGTTTGTCTCCATTTATTCGTCCTTTTTTGTCAAATTCCTGCTTGTCCAGCTGTCAAATTTCCATTTTTTTTTGTCTTTCATTCGGGCAACTTTCCATCCGTTCATCCCTGGATCTATTTGTTAAACCTTCGGTTAAGATTGGCTGTTCATCCGTCCTTTTATTTTTCAATCGTCCATTTTAAACCGTATATTACCCTTTAAGTCATTGATCGCTCAGTGGTTTGGGCATCGTCCTTCCTGAGTTTCTGTGGAAATATCTGAAATATCTGGCTTAAAAAGTACTTAAAACTTGAAAATCTGAGGGATAGAAATCTCGTTGGATATTAGCTACAGCATGCTGATGCAGAAAATAAAGCAAAAGCTAAAAAAAGTGAGGAACAGACATGCTTTTCTGCCTAAATCTTTAAGATCTGTTTACTTGTTGCTGCCTAGATCCTAAAGTGGTTTAGTGTTTTTAAACGACACAAATTGAGATGATTCCTGTCATTATTCACCTGCTGACCCAGAACAAGACGGCACTAATGAAAGACAACATACCAGTTAAGTAGGTGTTTTGTTGGAGGCAGTGGAAACAACAAAAACTGGTTTTTCGGCGGGACAATCTGTGCGCACGCACAGGAACTAATTATAAAGTAAACTGTGCTTTCACCTGAAGCTCCAGGCTTTGTTCGTGTTCTGTGTTATATTTTTGCAACAGTTCAAAACAGGACATCCGCTCCTGCTCTATTTAACATTTGTCAGTTTGTGTATGTCAGTGTAAGCCATCATGTTTAGAGAGGTGGATTTACCCTGTTTGACCCTTCTTCTAGCTATTTGTGTGTAAATGTGAGGTTGATATAGTAAACAACTGTGGATCAATATAAAATCCCTTAAAAATGTCCAATAATGTGAAAGATGCATCCTGTTATTTATGTCTACCGTTTATTTGAATTCTTCCTGATTTATTTAATGTAGAATAAAACGGAATAGAAATAGGGACATTCTGGTAAACCAGCAGCAAAGCGAGAGGCATGTGCAAGATGCAGATTTACACCAATAACATTATGATTTAAAGACTTTATAACCTAAGACAGAAGCACTTTTAATAACCCTTTAAGCCCTGAGGATCAGGTACAGCTCCCAAACTATAAATTGGAAATACAATTGTTTGGATTTGTATAACAGAAAGGCATTAGAGAATATTTTTCAGGTGGATCCACTATTTTAAATGTCACAATGTCAGATTTATAGGTGATTAAACCAAGAAAAAATGAATAATATTTAGCCTTGTCAATTTTTGTTCCAAAATAAACACTGCAAAACATCATGAAACCCCATTTGAAACTCTGGATGAAACCTCATACTTTATAGATCCACATGTTGACTATAACTCAAGTAAATTTGAAGTGAATAAGTTGAAGCATGTTTGTTCCACAAAGGTTTTAATTGGTAGTGTGTTATGTGGAAATGTGAGTTTGGCACAGTGGTGCCAAAAGTGCCAAAAAATGCATTTTTTCACAAAGTATTTGTGAAAAGAATTATTTTGAAACATGTTTTAGAAATTTTTGAAGCACAATTTGAAAGGTGTGTGGAAGAAATGGATAAACAAGCAGGTGTCAGTCGGGCCCTGTCTTAAAATCAGTGCTTTGTTTTTTTACCGTTATCTTCTGCAGGCCAGTTAGTTATACGTCAGCCTGTCACCATAATTCGGCCATTATCAACGGTCATCTGTCAATCAAATGTTTTCAGTCATAGCATCTTGATTCAAATGTTGCAGCTAATATAAGCAACGGTTGAAATCAGAATCCTTTCCTTTCCCATTGAGTTGCGTCCCAGTGTTCACGGGGATGGACGTCTGTGTCTTCGGCAGGCGTAGAGCTAACAGAACTGGCAGCGTTGCGAGGCAAGGGCTCAAACATGTACGGCTGGAAGCCTTCTACACCAAACCAAGTTTCTGCCGCCATGGCGTCCTCTTCCACATCATCTTCGTCCCCGCTTTCCTCCTCTAAATAAAAAATGGATGACGGAGGAGACTCATCCACGACCTCCGACACAAAACTCTCCTCCTCTTGCATGTTTCCGCTGTCCATAGCGTTCCTTGACAGCGTCGTTTCTAAGTCACCAATTAAGTGCTACTTGGTCCCAATGGAATTTCCAATTGGGAACCTGCTAGAGACTGACACAGGAGTGGATTTTCACTCCTGTCCCGTCCCACTCCCACAGAAACAAATTGTGTCCCGTCCCGATCCCGGGCCAGAGTAGAAATCTAAATCCTGTCCCGTCCCACTCCTGGTGAAATTACTCCCACTCCCATTCAGAATGACTCCCGCTCCTGCTCCACTCCCATTCTTATTGTTTTGGAGTGCGGGTGAAAAACTCAGAGCGGAAGCACTGTTGGTTTTTGGGTCATGTAGTTTTTTTGACTCGCATTATAGTGTAGGCTTCAGAAAAAAAAAACTACAAAATGGCGGCGCCAGTACTGGATTTTTTTTCTTTCTATTTTATTTTATTTTTTGGCATCGATCCTAGTTTTTTTTAGTTACTATTGGTTTGCTCCCGCTCCCGTCTGCTCCCGTTGATGTTTAATCCTGTACCGTCCCAATCACGTGATCGTTACTAATACTGACTCCCATCCCGAAAAAATGTCAGTCTCTAGAACCTACTAGCAATAAGTTGCTAACTGGTTAGCAAGATGCTTCCAACAAACGGGCCACAACCAAACTTGCTTGCTAACCTTCCACCACAACAATCCCGCCCCCTTGATAATCGACTAATCACATTCACTTTATTCACTTGTGTAAAGTCGGGCACCACTCAGTAGAATTTGAAATGTAACCGTTTGGAACGGCCGCTTCCCTTCAAATCTGGGCGTGTAAGTGGCGCAGTGGTTAGTGCCCACCACCCATGTATGGAGACCTTAGTCCTCGACGCGGCCAACCAGACTTCTGTTCCTTTCCGCATGTCTCTCCCCCTCTCTCATACCCCGTTTCCTGTCAGCCTACTGTCCAAAAAAAACAAGCCACTAGTGCTGTAAAAACTAACAAAATAAATTTTAATAAATAAACAGAATCTTTCTGAACATCTGTTCATAAAAAAACAAATTACTGTTAACAAGCACATTATGGTTTGCAGTAAATACATTTATTATTGTTTCACCTTCAGACTTTTTTTGGTTATTGTGGAAGGTCTGAAACCTGGAGTGTGAAAATATTCACAGTAGTTTTTATCAGATGTAGTGGAGTGATTTAAAGAATGTAAAAAAAAAAAAATAATAATAGTTTGTTGACTGCTGTTGACCTGAGGTTAAATTGATCCAGTTTGTCCTCCGATACTACTTGTCTTTTCTGGGCCTAATTTTCTGATATTTACCTCGTCAATCTCTCAGCCCCACAAATACCCCCACCCCCCAAAGCAAGCAAACTGTGACCAGCAGAGTTCACTTTTCACACAGACGAAGTTCTCTCTGTCCCTCTGATGTAATCTTTGGACTCATTTTAAAGCTGTAGACTGATAACAGCTCTGAGGTCTCATGTTTGCAGTTGTTAAAATAATTATTTCAGTTTAACCAACACAGAAAACTTTTGCTCTTTTGTAGATTACAGCAGCAAATAAAGTTGCTCAGGGATTTAATAAGGACTCCAATGTTTTTATTGTCTTTTTTTATTTTGTCTACTTGCTGTTTATGCTTGTTTGATGTTAAATGCTGAGGCTGATCTTCATGTCTCTTGGTGATGAAGTCTGCAGTAAAGCTTTTTAGACCGAATTTCGCTCCATTATTGTTGCAAGCAAAGAACACAATTTATAAATAAAAATATGAAGAAAGAACATTTTAAAAAATACAAAATTAAAAAGAAATTAAATAAAGAAATCAAACAATTTAGTTTTTTTTTTTTTTTACTTATGTTTTCTTAAACTTTTTTAGTGCATTTTTTGTTTCGTAATCTTAAAAAAAATATCTGTACTGGTTTTATATACTTGGATAAAATTTTTTCATATTCTATTTTTACAAATTTCTCTTTCAGATAGTTTTACTAATTGCATTTTTGCACAGATCACATTCTCTTCCCATATTGAAATGGGTTGTACGGGGACAATAACATTTTTATTAGTTAATAATGTCAAAACCAATCGTTTGTATCGGGCTTCAGGTGAAGCGAGCAGTAGTTGTTAAATCGGTTTTTCCAGCTGAGCTGTGGAGCCCTGCAGCTCCTCCATAGTTGCCATGGTTGCAGCTGCTCATTTAGATTGGGTGAACGGCCATCTTTGTTGATTTGTAGTCTTATGCTTAGCAGAAGATGGATTCAGCAGAGATGTATGGATGTTGGAGCAGCTTTCTGATGCGCCTCACGTTGTTCTATCAAACCTAAAAGTTCCTTTATTTACACACAGGTTAACTCTTTTCTAGGTTTTTCCTTTCCTTTGCAGTCATAGTGACAGAGTTTAACCTTAGGTTTAATAAAGAATATTTAAAACCTTGCTGCGTTGCCCTTTTTTCGATTTAATTTCAAACCATTTCATAAAATCCAAATAAACTGCAGTAAAGTTTAAAAACTGTTGTAAAGTTAAAGGGGAGTACTGGAACGCAGCTCCTGTGCATCGAAAATGAGAATTATTCGGCTGCTAACTGCTAACGGTGTCAATGTGGCACAAAGATGGACGCCTGTTGTCAATCCGTGTCCAGTTGTTGGACTATTCATCCGTCAAACTTCTCAATGGAGCCAGACAGACAAAGCTCAGCCTGTCAGCTCCTGGACATCTCCAATCACTCTTTCAGCCGCGGCTCCTCAGCAGCACTGTGAAAGGGATCCTTTATGGCAGACAGGCAGCAGAGAGGCGTGGATTAAGTGGGGGTCAGAGGACTCAGTGGGTCAGTCAGCCAGCGCATTATCAGGCCCTTCCATCAGCTTTACAAATGGCCTCCTCAGGGTCTGCTTCTTCTCTCCTCGTCGTGTCAGGAGTGCTTTTTTTTTTTTTTGCCCTCCCGAGGCAAAGAACGGGTTGAACCCTCATATAAAAGTTGTTTGACTGTGTTTTGTTTGGTTGTCACTGGAGCGTGTTGTAATAGGTTTACCGTTGGATAAGGTGGAGCGTTACACTGTGCTCTGCTGCCCTCTACAGGCTGGATCCACGGGGTTCTCACCTCTCAGGATTGCATGGCATTTGGAGGGAACTTCCTTCACAACCTCAACATTGGCATGCAGCTCAGGTTAGCTTCTCTTCAACATTGTTTCCTATAAATCATCACTTTCTGTATGTATAAACCACTTTGTTTGTTGTGTAGGTGTTATGAAATGGAGCGGCGTCTGAAAACCCCAGACCTCTTTAAGTTTCCCTACTTTGAGGCCATTTGTTGGTATGTGGCCAAAAACCTGCTGGAAATGCTAAAAGGTGAGCCCTTGATTCAAACCAGAAGGCCAGCTCTAGGTTTTTGTTTTTTTTCTTCATATTTTTATGGCTGAAATCTTGAATTATTTCAGATCTGCGTGAGGACAACTGTCCGCCACCAACCTACCTGGTAGATGGAGTCAGGGCTTTGATCAGCGCGCTGAGAACCTGGTTGAAAAGAGAGGTGAGATGCTGCAGCCGTCCTGCTCCTGTCCTGCCTGTCCGTCCGTTTATAGAGGATGGACGTCCGTTTACGTTCGCTCTTTCTCCTCCAGGTGACGGAGCCCACCAGCGAGGTACCGGATCACATCCGGCCCAACCATCTCATCAAGGAGCTGACCAAGGAAATACGCTACCTGGAGGTAAGAAGGAACAAATCTACGGCTCCCAGGAGGCTAAATAGTTCTGCAGTTTGACTTTGAATCTTATCTCTTTTGTCGACCATTCATCCCTCCTCTCTTTTTATCCTTTTCTGTTTTTTCATCCCTCTATACCTTAGTTTTGCATCCGCTCTTCCATTCTTTCTTAATTCCTCACATGTTCTTTTTCCTTCAACCATAATCTGTCCATATTCTCATTTATTCCACTGTTTTCTGTTCTATCCTCCACTTCCCCTGTCCACCCAATCATTTCTCCATTGCTTCTTGTTTATTCTCCACAATCATCTGTCTGCCTTTTCTTTTCTCTCCTTCCTTTCTTCTAAAAACTGTAGAAATTTAACAGAACTCTTACTCTCATATAAAAGAAAAATCTTTTTACTGGTGTTATATTATCAGATTAAACTTTTAAAGTCATGCAAGAATTAATTAAACGTTGCTTGTTAGCTGCATTAAGGTGTCCCCTGCGTTTGCTCCTCAGGAGGAACCAGTGAACGGGAGCAAGAACACGAAATCTCAGGGAAGCGGAACGCTGCCTGGATTGAACGGCTGCCTCACCAGCCGGGCCCTGGAGAGGCTGTGCCAGGCGCGGCAGGCGAGGAGAGCCGCCAGGCGGCTTAGGGAGCAGCAGCAGCAGGCGCCAAAGATGCCCTCCAACCTGGACATCTTGGAGCAACACACCATGGAGGTGCTGAAGAGGGTGGAGGTGGGACCGCTGGAACAGGTGAGGATTTAACCGTGTCAGGATGTTTTATATCAACGATGAGCTGCTGCATCTCCTGCTGAAATATCGCTTCCCTGTTGCTCCAGGATCCAGCGTTTTTCGCCAAGGTTCTTGGAAAGTTCAACAAAGTGTCGACGGCATCAGCAGCAGCTGCTGCAGAGTCCCTGGAAGACAACCACCTTCGCCTCATGCTGGTCAACGGCAGAATCATCCGGTAAGAGTTTCCTTTAAACTACTGGATACATGTCATATGAAAAAAACAGCTCTCACTGCACCCATTATAAAATCCTCTTTTATTTCCTGCTTCCGGACACAAAGTTAGATCAAACTTTTTTATGTTTAAGGTTATTTAGGATTACCAAAGGTATTTGTTTTCTATTTTACTGTGATCAGCGCATTGTCACTTTACTTGGATTTTCACTTTATTTGGATTTAGTTTTTACATATGCATAGGGTTGTTTAGCTTCTTTGATAGCCTGTAATAACGGATACTGACCCTGAAAGGGGGGTCGTTAGGGGGAATTGTTGGCCTGGAAGGACAGGCGAGATGTTCTGTTCCCCTCTATGGCGGGTGGGGTGGCGATGAGGGATGGGAATCAAATACCGCTTCCTGTTCAGAACCGGTTTCGTGTGTTCCAATTCCAAGGCACCGTTTGGCAGCGTCAACCGGTATAAGGAAGGAAAAAACTAACCGACGTATCCGCTTATCCCTACAATGATTTAGTCTTTCAAAGGTGTAGACATCTTATTGGGGGGAAAAAATGTCTCCAGAAGATCTGACATTTAAAAGAAAATAAATTAATTTGTCTGAATGAATGAAAGGTTTATTTATGCAGTTTATAGGATCTGAGTTCAGCTCTATGTTTGCTTGTGTTTTTAGCGATCTGAGGCGAGCGGGGAGCAGCCCTGGAAAGACGGAGGCTGAGCAGGCTGCTGCCGGCCCACCAAAGAGCTGCCCGGACGTGAAGCTGGAGAGGACGGAGGGCAGCGCCGCTGAGAAGGCTCCTCTGTGTCCAAGAAGTCTGGAGACGGTGAAGAACGAACTCAGGGAAGAGGCGTCGGGACACTCCAGCGTCTCGGACCTGGAGTCAGACAGCGACTCTCCCTCAGAAGTAAATGATTCGAATGTTTTCTTTCTCACCTCATGCGTTTAGACAGGAAAAAAAACACCGTTATCGTGATGCTGCGAGCTGATGAATGTTACCACGGTTACTGACAAGTGTCTTTGAATGAACCTCATCATTTTAGAGCAAAGCTTTGTCGTCGTCGTCGTCATCGTCCTCCTCTTCTGACGATGATTCTGAGAGTTCCCAGGAGGAGGAGGAGGAGAGGAGCTCATCTCAGCAGACAGGCTCAGGGAACGGCTTCCTGCTGGACCAGTCGGCTCAGAAACTCAGGCACAAACACAAACCACTCAAAAGGTGAGGAGAAACCGTCCCAGTCGAGCAGCTCTTTAAAGTATTAAGTCCTCTGATGGCTAACGGTGAGTCTGCCGCCTCCTGCAGAGAACGTCCTACCTCACCCAGCACAGAAGAGGCCATTCAGGGGATGCTGTCCATGGCTGGGCTGCTGTGCCCCTCAAACCAAGAGGAGGCGCCGTCGCCGCAGGAGTCCTGGTGGTCCAGTTCAGAGCAGCGCTCGCTCCAGGAGGCGGCCCAGCACCGACTGCAGGGAGGCCAGAGCCACATGGACAGCCAGGGCAACAGCAGCAGCGAGGCCTGGGACAATCAGGGGCTCCCCAGCCCCAACGCAGAGTACCAGTACTGTGACCCGTCTATGTCTCCGCCGCTGCACCCTTCCAAGAGGAACGCCCCCAACCCTCCTCCCATCAGCAACCAGGCCACGAAAGGTGCGGCCGTCAGATTACTGCTCATCAATGTTGAAGGATTATCTGCTCACCTAACCTCTGCCTTAAAGACACAGAATGATGCTGCCGCCACCGTGTCTCACACTGAGCTGTTATATTTTACCACTCACATATTACAGGGTGGTCATTAAATCGATAAGTCATTAAATTATTATTTTCTTAAATTAAGGCCTTAATTGGTATTAAAATTGTCATTATCTCGGCATTTAAAATGTTTTATTTTAAAGTCGTAGGAAAATCATATTTAAATGTCAAATCATTCTGGCTTAAACATGTATATAAATGTTCTCTTTATCAGACCATAGTGTCCTTAAGTTTGGAAAATATCTAGTAAAGGAAAAAATCCTGTCTTAAAATCTGTTTTTCTGTTATCTTCTGCAGGCCAGTTAGTTCTACGTCAGCCTGAACACCTAAATTCAGCCAATCATATATCAACGGTCAATCTAATTTTTTCAGTCATAGCATCTTGATTCATATGTCGCAGCTAATATACGCTAACCTGACTCCGCCAGATGGATTTGCTCCGCATATCCATCGGGAAACCTTCCGTTGAAGTAATTTTGGGAAGGGGCGAAAATACTGGTTAGCTGATTGGCCTATGTTGGTGATAGACGGGCCAAATAAACCAATCAGATCAACGAAGAATATGACGTACTAACAGAGCGACGACAAAGAGGAGCCAATTGATAGATCAAACTCTTGCCGAAACCAGTCGGGAGAAGAGCAAAAACATCTTTTCCTCTGAGAAAAGCCTCCAGAGCAGTGTTTTGCTCTTCTTTCAGTGAAGAAATACTCTGTAATTCAGATAAAACTTGCTCAATAGCCACGCTAACGCTAGTTGCATCGGCTGAAGCCGCCATGTTCTTTAGACTGAACTGTCGCGCTTCTCGTTGCGTCACACCTCAACCCGCCTCAAAGCCAACGCTGATTAGACGTTCGTTTGGTGAACGGCTCCAAATTTTCTTTAACGGAGAGTCTCCAGACTGATCTGCGAGTGAAACCTTGAAAGCTCGCGAGATCAGGATGGTCTCACGAGGCTAAGTATACTGAACGGTTGAAATCAGAATCCTTTCCTTTCCCATTGAGTTGCGTCCCAGTGTTCACGGGGATGGACGTCTGTGTCTTCGGCAGGCGTAGAGCTAACAGAACTGGCAGCGTTGCGAGGCAAGGGCTCAAACATGTACGGCTGGAAGCCTTCTACACCAGAGGTCTTCAAAGTTTTCTAGGCCAAGGACCCCCGAACTGATGGCGAGATGGAGCGGGGACCCCCTAATTATATATATCGTATGAAATTATGTTATATTGGGATTATTAGAGTATTTCTGATTCCTAGTTGATGTTACAGGTGTTGTGAAAGAAATGGTGTTCAGCTTGAAAGAGCTCCTGGGTGTCGCTGAATGTGTGCATTGTTGACTGAAAGACATCTTCTGCCCATATTTATCTACTACAGTGTGTTTTAAAGACATTGCAATTAGTGGAAACAATTGCAGGGGGGAATATAAAAGAAAATCTTAATCAACTAAATCTTTCGCGACCCCCATGCAGTACCTCTGTGGACCCCCTAGGGGTCGCGGCCCCCCGTTGAAGACATCTGTTCTACACCAAACCAAGCTTCTGCCGCCCTGGCGTCCTCTTCCACAACATCTTCGTCCCCGCTTTCCTCCTCTAAATAAAAAATGGATGACGGAGGAGACTCATCCACGACCTCCGACACTAAACTCTCCTCCTCTTGCATGTTTCCGCTGTCCATAGCGTTCCTTGACAGCGTCGTTTCTAAGTCACCAATTTAGTGCTACTTGGTCCCAATGGAATTTCCCATTGGGAACCTGCTAGCACTAAGTTGCTAACTGGTTAGCAAGATGCTTCCAAGACACCGGCCACAACCAAATTCGGAAATCCACCGGTTGGAACAAACGTATCTAAAAACAATTTCTTTAGATGTTTAATATCAGATATAACTTTTCTGCGTGTTTGCTCTAAACTGCTTCCGATTGATCGTAAAGCCGTACGTTTGGAAAAGAAGCTCGAAGCGAATAAAAAGGAAAATGCAAATTAAATTTATTCTAAGAGCATTAAATTATGCTGCGTTCACACCGGGGGCTGCAGGCGCGACAGAAGCAGCGAGTTTACATGCAAAGTCAATGGTTGACGCGCGTCAAGGCGCAGCAAAAGGTCCCGCGGCGCGTTTTGAGCTGCAGGCGCAGCGCGTCTGAGCAGCTGAAGCAGTCGGGCGCGTTTTGGCATCTGACGTGCGTGACGCGCCGCAAACGCGCTGCTGCTCGAGATGGAAAAATTGAACTTTTGCTGCTCGACGCGCCGCGTCAACCAATCAGAGAAGCTGATCTGGGAGCTGACAGAGAGACACATCGCTGATGACATTGACCGCTCTGATTACTCCTCTTAAACAGTTTATTAACGCATAATTAACTTAAAATATATACATCTGCCGGCAGAGAATATGTTGGCTTTTATTATTCTGGTGCCTGCAGATCGGATTATTTAGATGAAAAACACCTACCAGCCGCCGCGGTAAACCGCGAGGAGGCGACCCGGCCAGAGGCTGCTGTTGAAGGGATTCCTTCTGTCGGCGCACCGTCGGTATGTGGGGGTCTGAGCGGCTCCGACAGAAATAACATTGGGAGACAGGATTGTAATCTGGATGAACTGACTGCACTGATTACGTTTTCAGGTGTATTTTCTCACTTAAAAACATATTAAAACTACTTTATTCCCACTGATCACAGCAAATATAGCTGCAAGGCAGAGAAAGGATAGTGAAGCTCCGCCCAACGCGCGTCAGACACACTTTTGCACCGAGCAGCCAGAGCAGCAAAGCTGCTTCTGCCGCGCGTCAGAACTAACTGGTACAAGCAGCAAAAATGAAGCAGCAGACGTGATTTTGCTGCTTTTGCAGCGTCCGGTCTGAACGTAGCATTAGAGTCACTCATTCCTGCATTAAAGTTACATTTTAACCGGTTTTATTTGATATTTAAGCACAATGCTACCAGATTGGTAAACATTAGCTACCATTTGTTTGACTTCGGAAGGTTTTCTCGACTAAATCCAAACAAACGTCACGCTTTAGGGATTTATAAAAATATGTGGCCGATCACAATAAGGATTTAGATTTATCATCTAAATGATGAATTAGAATTAGTGAAGTTTTTAAAAGTAAAAAGATTCAGATTTTTTCCTTGAGTTTTTTCAGTTGGGTCATTTACACATTTGATGAATATGATTAAATGTGGCTACTTGGAGGTTGTTGTTGTTTCATGTAAATCGCTTTTTTTGTTAGTTTTTATGCAACTGGTGTCAAAAAGAAACTTATTTGAATCAAATCGAACCCAAAGTAGTTCTTCTGATTGTGCGGCCATGATTCAGAAGCAATCAGTCAAAGCTAGTCGTCACTTTTATGGTTATCCTCATAATTCCATTAATTATAAGATTTTAAGTCCATATCACCTGACCCTATGTCCATCTGTGAAACATGGTGGTGGCAGCATTATGATGTGGTCATTTTCCATACAAAATGGGTATATTAAGAGAACCTTTAGTTTTGTTTTTTCCTACTTAATAATAATTTAATTCCTAAAAGAAACTAATGTTAAAATATGTGCTCATGCTTTGATTTTTGTTTTGTTTTTAGGTAAAAGGCCCAAAAAAGGAATGGCGACACCCAAACAGAGACTCGGCAAGATCCTCAAACTCAACAGACAGAGTCGAGTTTTTGTGTAACGCCCTCCCTCACCTGAGAGAAGAAACGGAAAACATCATTCGGGGTTAGGAAAAAAAAAAAAAAACGGAAAAGATAAACATTTGTGTTTGTTTTCAGTCACCTTTCTGCTGCGGAGGAAAAAAAAAAAAAAAGAATCGGATGCACTGCCTGAACGAAACCCCGACACGTATGACGCGCTCACTGTGCATGCTGAGGAGACAGGGTATCGGTTTAGGAAAGAGCAGGTGCATGATGGCAAGAAAGAAAAGCACACTAAGAACAAAAACCCAAACTGAGGCGGAGCGGGAAGCGGAGGGAGGACCTGAAATCTACCCAACAAAGAGCAGCTGATTAGGAGGACGTCGCAGAGCGGAAGCTGAATCACATTTGCTTAAACTTCCTCTCCTGCTTTAAATTTATCTTGCTTCCCTGTGAGGATGAAAGGAGCAATGGAAACCGAGCTGCACCTCCAGGATCGGATCTTAGCAGAAAACGTGGTGCTTTAAAAACAAAAAAACACAGAAAACAAGGCGGCTGTGAACTGATATTTCAAATGGTGCTTATTGTTTTGTATTTTTCCTTCCCTTCCCCTCTTTTTATCTCAATCACACCAGCAATAATGACTGTGGGGTGAGAGGAGAGGCGGCCCTGATGTCGGGCTTGCCTCTCCCCTCTGCGCCGTTTATCACTTAGAAAGCTAACAGGAAGTTACTCGGAGCGCCGCCTCCCTATAATAGGATTGAATGAGTCTTTGGCTCTTCGAGCGACTCCACTTTAATTTATTTCTCATTTTTTTCTGTTCTCTTTTTCAATGTGTTTAAGGATTATGAATGATGTATTTATTAATTGAAAGAATTAATGATTTTATTTTGAAATTGAGTTTTTTTTAAGAGATTGGTTTCTTTTGTTTTTTTTTGTATCTTTAACAAACATTTTTGTAAATGTGGATGTTTTAGTCTGAGTAGCAGTTTACTTCCTAACTTTGTCGTCACAGATCTTTTCCTCCTGCAGTTGACTTGAGCCTGTGTTGATCCCCGTCTCCTCTGGTTGTTCCCAGTCATTTTTTTGGGCGATGTGTGAGTAGAGACTTAGTTTAGGTATTATTTGTTTTTGGTTTTTTAAAAGGTCAACTCTCATCTCCGCACCTAAGCATTCTCAGTTAGTGCCAGCTTCCTTTTGACTTGCAAAAACAAAGTATCTGAGCCACCGTGGTCAGTTCAGAGAGCAGTACTTCAATAGTTTTTTTATTTTACTTTTTACCCCTTGAACTATTCTTTCAATCCAACTAAACAAACTTTAATGTTTTAAAGTGGAAAATTAACATTTTAAATCAGTATTTAAACCTAAAAAAAATGGCCAAAACTGCAGATTCCCAACAGCATGATTCCTCCACCACCTTGTTTTAAGGTGGAGGGATGCATCTGATCCAGTTCACTGGAAAAACTATTTAGAAATAAGTAAAAAAAATCTTAAATTAAGTGTATTTACCCCTAATTTGAGTAGATAAAAGATAGTTTGCCAATGGAATGAGTATTTTTACTCTTAAAATAAGATATTTAGATCAAATGCACTTGAAATAAGACAATACAGTTGTTTTTTTTTTTCTTATTTTAAATGTAAATTGTCTTGTTCTATTCGCAAAATGTCTCTTTTATTTCCTCCAAGAACAAATGCACTTATTTTAAGAAAAAATGACTTATCTAGATTTCAATTTTTTCCAGTATAAATACACTGCAAAAACAATCCAGAAATAAGTAAAAAATGGCTTAAATTAAGTATATTTAGCCTTAATTTGAGCAGGTTAATAAGATGATTTGCCAATGGAATGAGTATTTTCACTCTTAAAATAAGATAGTTAGATAATATTTACTTGAAATAAGACGATAAAATAGTTTTTTCTTATTTTAAAAGGAAATTGTCTTGTTCCATTGGCAAAGTGTCTTACTTACCTCCTCAAATCAAGGAAAAACACACTTATTTTAAGAAAAAATAACTTATTGAGATTTATATTTTTTGCAGTGTACAGCTACACAAATTCTACACTGGAAAAAAAATCAAAATCTAGATAAGTCATTTTTTCTTAAAATAAGTGCATTTGTTCTTGAATTGAGGAGGAAAAAGAGACATTTTGCCAATGGAACAAGACAATTTACATTTAAAATAAGAAAATACAATTGCATTGTCTTATTTCTAGTGCATTTTATCTAATTATCGTATTTTAAGAGTAAAAATACTCAGTCCATTGGCAAATTATGTCGTTTACCTACTCAAATTAAGATTAAATACACTTAATTTAAGAAATCTTTACTTGTATCTAGATCGTTTTTCCAGTGTATATTGATGCACTGAAAAAATCAATTTCTATCTTATTTCAAGAGCATTTTGTCTTATTTTAAGAGTAAAAATAGTCATTCCATTGGCAAACTATCTCATTTACCTGCTCAAATTAAGGGTAAATACACTTAATTTAAGAAATTTGTACTTATTTCTAGATCTTTTTGCAGTGTAGATGTACACTTCTGACTATTAAGTACTTCAAGGAGACATAAAGGCAAATTTCTTTACTCCGATTTTACTCTGTAGCCGATAAATCGTTGCCAAAACCCAACTGTATAAAACATGGCGGCAGCAGCATCATGTTTGTCTTTAGAAACACTATCCGTCACATAAAAGCTTAGTATTATAAGCTTCATTTTATTGTTGCAGCTTGACAAAAATATGGAAAAGTTCCAGGGGTAGAAATACTTCAAGCGGCTGCAGTCGATGTATTCACAAGCTAACGATGATGAACTTTGTATTGTGGGGTTTTGTTTTCGGTTTTGTTTTTTTTAAATACCAGTGATGTTGTGAAATGTGTGCAGTTCTTCACTCTCAGGGAATGATGCCATGGACATAACCTCCGATTAACCACCAGCCACATCATGGATGCAGACAGGACGCTCTCAGCGCTTCAAACGCTGAGGATTTGTTTTCATATTTCCCAAAAAAAACCCACCTCTGTTTGAGGTTTTTCAGGTTGCACGAACACGCCGTTACCGGTCAGTCATTGGATCTTTAAGCCCAACCGGAGTCTGGTGTTGCCCCCTAACCTCCCCAGTCGTGTTCGGCTCAGTGTTACTCATTCACCCCCCCCCCCGCCTGGAAATCGACGGTGACCTCAATAAAAGCCGTAAAGCTTTAAAACCATTCTGTGAACAGCGTGAGGCTGGGAAAGCTCCTCTCAGGTTGACCTACAAGCAACTGTGTGATTTCTCACTCGGCGCTATGAACCAAGTCGGTGTTAATCGCACTGCTCGGCTGATTTCCTCATTTTCTTACACTCTTTTTTTGCATGTTAAGTCGTTGAAGAAAAGAAAAGGAGCTGGCCCGCAGGCAGGGTTTGTTTATAAGCTGTACTGTTCACCGCACAGGACTTAACCCCTCCCTCCCCTTCTCTCTCTTTCTGCTTTTTGTGTTGTCGGTTCTTACAATGATGGTTTCTGATTTAAAATATACAAACACTGGCTAACTGTGACACTGTTGATGCTTTGCATTCGTTTCGGCATTTCAGAAATTTTGCTTGTAAATAAAAGTAATGAAATGATAAAAACGAGGCTCCTGTCGAACTGGATTTAAATCAGCAACTTTTCATTTTGTTTCAGGATGTTTTGGAAATTGTTTGAATTTTAAGGCGACCAGAAAATTGAGCCTTTATTTAGCGCAGCTCTCCCTTCCCCCTGCCTTCTTTATTGTTGCAGGTTTTATTTTTAAGACGCTGGCCTGAAAGAAGCTCATTGTAATTAATCCTAAGGTTCAAATATGAACAATAAGATTATAAAAATGCTACTAAATCACCGTTGGCTATTATTTAAAAAAAAAAATCCCTGCAGATGGGCTGAAATAAAAAAATATTCTTATGATAAAACCTTCAGCCACTTTTTTCACATCAAGACTTGACAGCATTTTCCTATTTATTTCACCACTAGATGGCCACAGTGAGCAAAGTTTGAGGCTTTGCATTAAAAGAAGCCACATCTTGCCAATTTTGAACCTATTCATGTGGTTTTGGTATTAATGAATGCTACAGATTGAATGTAGCCAAACATTTAATCAATTTTTTCCCCCCATGGAATCTGTTCCAAAAGCCTGTGCCATTATTTTTAAAATTGTAACAGTCGTTCATATATTCACCCTTAGCAGTAGCTTAATGTTGCTGCACACGACACCTGGAAAGTTGTTGGAAATTGATCGAGGAGGAGCCTTTAATTTGATGTTAACCCAAGTTTAAATGTTGAAGCCTGCAGAGCTTTAGATGTTCCTGAAATTGCTAACTGCTGTTTGTTTTCTCCATATGTTGAATCTATTGTCCCAGAAAAAAGGTTTTCCAACTTCCTCATCAGCTCTGTAATTGCCTTTAATCAGGAAATGATCCTTTTAGCCTCGCTTTGTTAGACAGGTTTTATTAGATGCTATACACTCACCGGCCACTTTATTAGGTACCCCATGCTAGTAACGGGTTGGACCCCCTTTTGCCTTCAGAACTGCCTCAATTCTTGGTGGCATAGATTCAACAAGGTGCTGGAAGCATTCCTCAGGGAGTTTGGTCCATATTGACATGATGGCATCACACAGTTGCCGCAGATTTGTCGGCTGCACATCCATGATGCGAATCTCCCGTTCCACCACATCCCAAAGATGCTCTATTGGATTGAGATCTGGTGACTGTGGAGGCCATTTGAGTACAGTGAACTCATTGTCATGTTCAAGAAACCAGTCTGAGATGATTCCAGCTTTATGACATGGCGCATTATCCTGCTGAAAGTAGCCATCAGAAGTTGGGTACATTGTGGTCATAAAGGGATGGACATGGTCAGCAACAATACTCAGGTAGGCTGTGGCGTTGCAACGATGCTCAATTGGTACCAAGGGGCCCAAAGAGTGCCAAGAAAATATTCCCCACACCATGACACCACCACCACCAGCCTGAACCGTTGATACAAGGCAGGATGGATCCATGCTTTCATGTTGTAGACGCCAAATTCTGACCCTACCATCCGAATGTCGCAGCAGAAATCGAGACTCATCAGACCAGGCAACGTTTTTCCAATCTTCTATTGTCCAATTTCCATGAGCTTGTGCAAATTGTAGCCTCAGTTTCCTGTTCTTAGCTGAAAGGAGTGGCACCCGGTGTGGTCTTCTGCTGCTGTAGCCCATCTGCCTCAAAGTTCCACGTACTGTGCGTTCAGAGATGCTCTTCTGCCCACCTTGGTTGTAACGGGTGGTTATTTGAGTCACTGTTGCCCTTCTATCAGCTCCAACCAGTCTGGCCATTCTCCTCTGACCTCTGGCATCAACAAGGCATTTCCGCCCACATAACTGCTGCTCACTGGATGTTTTTTCTTTTTCGGACCATTCTCTGTAAACCCTAGAGATGGTTGTGCGTGAAAATCCCAGTAGATCAGCAGTTTCTGAAATACTCAGACCAGCCCTTCTGGCACCAACAATCATGCCACGTTCAAAGTCACTCAGATCACCTTTCTTCCCCATACTGATGCTCGGTTTGAACTGCAGGAGATTGTCTTGACCATGTCTACATGCCTAAATGTACTGAGTTGCCGCCATGTGATTGGCTGCTTAGAAATTAAGTGTTAACGAGCAGTTGGACAGGTGTACCTAATAAAGTGGCCGGTGAGTGTAGGTCTGACAGACGTCAGGTCAGGGTTTGGCCAATGAACTGCATCGACCAATTTTAAGTAAAGGTAAAAATAGAGCTGTGTGGCCTAGAAACGTGGAAATCTAGATGCTATCCGCGCCCCCAGAAATTCAACAGAGCAGAGTTTAATTTAACAATCGTTTTATTGGACTATGTACAGCAAAGTCTTCAGAGCATCTGGAAGGTCTCCGTAAAGTCTTGCAAAACAGCTTCAGTGTGATTTGTTCACCTGCAAAAGAAATAAATGTCATTGAAAATTTTTTACAAATTAAATTATTGCTCTTTTTTTTTTCAAGGAGACGAGTTTGATCTCTTCTGTTTGGACTGATGGTCTGAACCTTTTTTAACCTTCCCACTTGCAATATTTTTTATGGATTAGAACACCCTACCCTTCAGCTCAGTATAAAAACCCCAAATACGTACAGAAGCACCTTGACAATCACTTTATGGAGCCTTTTTTTCCCAACATGTGCAAGGAAACTC